GCTCTAGTATTTGGTGAATGATCAGTCTAATTATAATTGAATGAATACAACTATGTGCATGTATAACCTTATTAATTATTATGGAGCCTTATATATGACTTAGTGGATGACACTTTGATACTATAAAAATCACAAGTATTGGTAAGGAATTAAAGAAAGAAGTATTCCTAGAGTCTACTTTACATAATTTCTAGAGTTGGCCATTATAGTTGTCACAAAGGGTTCAGGCCCAGATTAGACTGCATCGCCTCCTATGAACCCACACGAGCCCCGAGATCCTCAGGAGATGCCCTGTTCTTGGTCCTGCCACCATCTCAAGTGTGATTGGTGGGAACAAAAGAGAAAGCCTTTTCAGTGGTACCTCACAACTTTGGAACTCCCTTCCTAAAGAGATTAGAACAGCTCCCTCCTTGCTTTCATTTAGGAACCAAGTTAAAACCTTCCTATGGAAGCTCACCTTCCCTGAAGGAGAATACTGGTATTACAAATACCAGATCCATCTGTGCAATATATACAATTTAATGAACCTCCTACAATGGACTTGACTACGGCCTAGGAATGGACCTCAGATGAGATTTTTTGACTTATTTAACATTTAAACTGTGTCATGTTATCTATTTATTGTGTTGTTGCCAGTTTTATAATTTTATTAGATACATTGTGGTGTGACGTTTATGCTTATTTCTATGCGTAGTAGGAGCTGGAAGGGGTGGGGCTGATGCCAAGTGGGGGCAGGGCTGGTCATTACCTGGCTGAACTCCCAGCATACTCACCACAGGCTTATACCAAGAGTGAGACAGGCTGCATCTGAAAGAGCTCTGCAGCCCTTTCAAATGCTTCCTGCCCTTATGGCTCGGGCTGTTCTCTCAGCAGAAGGAAGGAGCTTGCCCCCTCCTTCTGCCAAGAGAAGGGGAAGGCTGCATCTGAAAGGGCTACTGAGTTCTTTCAGATACTGCCTGCTCTCCTGGCTCGGGCTGTTCTCTCCCTTCTGTAAGAAAGGGGAGGAGACAGGCCCCCATGAAATCCTTCCCCTTTCTCCTTCCAGCCTGGGGGAGACAGCGACCTGCCACATTTCCAGACTGAAAAGGAGAAAGAGGAGACAGGCCGTTGCTGTAAATCTCCCCCTCAGCACTCTTCCCTGCCTTCCCCTCAGCACTCTTCTCTGTCTGGGGAGACGGCAGTCCACAACTTTCCCAGATGGAGAAGAGGAGGAGGAGAGTGGCCATTGCCGGAGATCTCCCTGGCAGTGGCCTGCCTTCCCCTCTGCACTTTTCTCCACCTGGGGAAATGGAGACCCGTCGCTTTCCCAGATGGAGAATAGGAGGAGGAGACATGCGGCTGGTGAGAGCTCCGGAGATCAACCTCAGCCCTCCTCTCAGCCTGGGGATGTGGGCCGCTGCACCTGCATGTTGAGAGGAGGGTTGAGGCAAGCAGGGACCTGACGTGAGACCCTCAAAAATCCGTATCCGGCCTGCCTATATCTGATCTAGACCGAGCATTTGCATTGAGCAACTATATAGCCCTTTATATACTGTTGCCACACAACTTATGATGTAATACTGGCAGGTATCTTTTGTTCTTTCATGTTCAATTGCAAAGGCAATAGAATCAAGTCATATAGTTGTGTAGTGAAACTGGATTCCCTAATCAGACTATATTTTTATATACAATCAGTTCTCAGTTCTCATTAAGGCTAACTAAATAATTATGAATATGTAGTACCTTTGAATAAAGATTTAATTATGGCAGCCAAACATATATCAAGAGAAAGTGAAAGCTTGTCATTCTGAGTTCTAGTAATGGCTTCAAGAAATAAATTTCTCCCCTTGCTTCCTTCTGAAAGTGCAGGTCCACTCCATATATTAATCTGTTGACACAGGAAATATCTTCAGTACCAAAATCTGTTTTAGGAATTTAACATAGGCTTGTGGGATATAAACAATCTGTTTATAATCCATGGCTGGTGTGGTCATGCAGTTTTTGTGTGGTGCCATACAGATAATTAAATCAGTGCTTGTTGCATGTGATCTTTTGCAAACAATTCTTGGGTAACATGGTTCATTCATTATGACTGTTTAATCTTGGAGGCATCTGAACATAAAATTTCAGAGAGTGCTGTTTAAGCTTTAAGCTTCCCCCCTACACCATTAGACCATTAGACAGACAATAAACACAAAATTACAGGAACAGGTATTTTCAGAGTTGTAAGAAATAGTTTCTCCCTAATGTTCATTTATGAGTTTTCTTAGCCCGAGATGCCTAGGATGATATGGGTTGGCAGAAATGAGATTCAAACAGCCATCCTGAATCCCATTTTGATAGAAAGAGATATTGGGTGGCTGTTTTTTGGGTTGTATGGTCATGTTCCAGAAGCATTCTCTCCTGGTGTTTCACCTGCATCTATGGCAGGCATCATCACAACCTCTGACTCTCATCAAAGAGGGAGCTATGTCCTTCTTTCAGCAGAGTAACAAAAGGCAAGTGCTTATTCCATCCCAAGAGTATGCACAAGAAGCACCAACCCTGCTCTACACTCTCTGCTATGGTGCCACTTCCGGCCTTTTTAATGCCCAGTGGGAAAATGGAATCAGCAGCAGTAAAGGGGCGATTGGCCCCCTGAGATAGCATGAGCCACAAAAGAAATGCAAAATGCCATAGGTTTCTTGTAAACAAAATTTAAGGTTTCTTGTAAACAACTGGTTGTGATGGCTTTATTCACACCATATCCAACTATATAAGAATGATACATTCTGTCCCAAAGTAATGACAGATTTGATGGGAGCATGATCACTTTCAAAATCTTGCATTTTGTGTACTTCAAAAGGGCACATTATAAAGCTAAATCTAAACACTTTAAAATAAAGACTCATATAGGCTCTGATCCATATGATATTTCCAGTAATACTTCTAATTCCAGGAATTATATAATTTCAGACACTGAAATCTTTAACCATGAGTAACTTATGGGACTGTTAGGCTGAATGAACTTTCCCACTCCTGCAGTGTGGGTTATGGTTTCCTACCCACTTGAGGCTACATTGTGATACGGTAAAATGATGCAGCCATCTGTGCTCAGAATCACATACAACTAAAGAAAAACTAATGATTACACATTTAGAAGGGCTGTAAAAACAAAGACCACCTGCCACTATTAAAAGAACAGTTCTACAGCTGTATGTTGCAGATTGTATCATCCAATGTTTCCCATCACTGTTAAAGAAGAAATGACTGCATACAAGTATAATCTGGCCCAAAATGATATTGCTCTTCTGGAGCTGCCATCTACGGTTTTATCTATCTATCCATCCATCTATCCAACTACCCATGCCATCTTTCTGATGCTCACCAAAGGCAGTGTATTAAAGAAAGAAAATCACACCAAAGAATATATACAACACTAAAAAAGACATCCAGTGTCAAAATAGCTTAAAACATTGAGTTTACAAGGTATGTTTGGGGCTTCTTCCTGAACATGAGTTGAAGTGGGACCAATCCAGAATAATTGCTTTGCAGAATGAGAGGAAGTCATAAAGTACTTTTCTCCATTCCTAACAGAGGGGCCTCAGAAACCAGAGATGTCTTTCAAAGAGTTTTTGTTCATGCTCAGAGAAGTAGTTCCCTTAGATAGTCAGGCACTAAGCTACTTAAGAGTTTTAAAAATTAAACTTGTTACCTTGGTTTAAAGCCCACAAAAACTATTCGCAAACAGTTCAGATCTTGCTGGAGTGATTTGGCCATGGTATGCACCAGTCAGCAGCCTTGGTGCTACATTCTGCACAAACTGACACTTCCAGAAGGATATATTCATGTTGGGTACATGGCAACAGTCTAAACATCATGTAACAGAGACATGGATAAATGCTGCTGAATCAAACAGACTGAAAGATAGTTTCACTTGACATTAAGCGCTACATTAACTCATTGACATTATTGCTATCTAATGATAAACTCATGAATAATGTATTTCTATATGATGATGAGATTGATATTAATTTATATCCTGCCTTTATCAAAAAATCTTAAGACTCAGGGCAGCTCAAGTGTCGGATTAGGCAATACCAAGAAGGTATCAATCTAACTTTTCAGGAGAAGTTCAACACCTTCCAGAACAGGATAATACCAATGACTAATTTGGTTTTACTGAGATAATGTTAATACAATCATTCAAGGCCACCAGTGATAGCCTATAATGATGATGATGACCATTGCTTTTCAAGAATGTATTATTATTTAATGTTTTTAGATGGCACACTGATCTGAAAGCTCCTGGATCAACTAAAGATTTAGAAATTACAAAAATAATGAGAGAAGAATAAGCATCATTGGAAAAATATAAACAAAGCAGTGCAATTTTCTGGAATTAATGTTATATGCAGAAAGGATTTTCTGGTATACAAAATGCTGGTTTTTGTAAAAACAACAACAACAACAACAACAACAACAACAAAACCATATGGGATTTGTTCACAGAATAAGTCCAGAACTGCAAAAAGGCATCAAAAACTGCACAGTTTTCAAAAACTTCTCCCAGTAGAAAAAAAACTGCTGAAATTAAAAGAAACTTACTGAAGAATTCCATCCCTAGAAAATGGCTGAAGATTTCACTAGCACTGGAGATTTGCATGGTTCTCAATTGAAAATGTTTGTGAAAACTTACATTCATTTGATTAGCAAATAAAAATAAAATGGTAGGTGATAAATTTGGTAAGAGTTATGTTTTATTCTTCAAATGGCAGAATTTTAGACACTTCTCAAAGTAATTTAATTTGGGATCAACTTCCACACATTAGCTTGTCTCGCTCTTGCTGGATGCTAAGATATTTTTGCTGGCATTAATGAAACATTAATGTTACTTCACACAAAAAATGCTGCATCCACAAATCACAAACTTATTTGCCAAAACAAAATATGATGTTGACCAATTTAAGTGCTCAATTAACAAAACAACATTTGTTCCTAAATGATGTTTAATAGCTAAATAATCTAAAGTTCATTTTTACCTGGTGGATTCTTGGCAGGATCATTGTGGCTTGGACTTCCTGATTGTCCAGAATCTACAAAAAATAATAATAATGGAGAAACATATTACCAATATGATTTCCTTTTAGTACACACAATGGTTAATAGTCCTTTGAATTTAAATATTCTACAAAATATTCATTTTGAAAAACTAATTCTTATGATTTTCAATTATACTGTCATATTTTGTTATAATATTGCAGAACAGCTACGTACATCATTTTTTAAAAATTAAATTATAATGTTCTTGGAGAGAGAAAAAAATAACATTTTACAGAGTTTAGAATTTTAGTCAGTTTAGAATTTTTAATCATTTACCCTAAATGGAATTTTATAATTGTGAACTTTTCATTTTAGGTATTTAAATATAACTGTGGTCTTGGATATTCGTCGTCATCATACTCAAGTACACTGGAAACATTCCTTCATTTTAGAGCCAATTTCAAAGAACATGCCTAATATTAAAAAGAGGCCACATGATTTTTTTTCTTCATTTTTGTCTTCAAAATGTTGCTCCCTAACATTTAACTGAACAATTTCTGTATTTTATTTATTTTAAGGCACATACTCATTTCAATACCACCAACAGAAAAAAAAGTTACATATATAAAACACACATCATGCTAAGAAGATTTTATAGATGTTTATATGAGAGAAAGTGTGTCTTACCATGAAAGAATTACAGTGGTTCACATTCCCAAAGCCTCTCCAAATTGTTCAAATCTATGTGGACGACACCCAACTGTATTACTCCTTTCTACCAAATACCAAGAATGTCATCCTGCTCATAAACCAGTGCCTGTCAGCAATGGACTAGATGAGGGCTTATAAATTGAAATTAAATCCAGACAAGACAGAGGCACTCCTGGTCAAGATGGACCCGGGTTGGGATTACAATCTGTGTTGGATGGGGTCACACTTCCCCTGATGACACAGGTTCACAGTCTGGGGGTGATCCTAGACTCATCTTTGATTCTGGAACCCCAGATGTCAGCAGTAGCCAAGAGTGCCTTTGAACAATTAAAACTTGTGCACCAGCTGCACCCATACCTTGAGACACCAGACTTGGCCATGGTAGTCCATGCCTTAGTCACATCCTGCCTAGACTACTGCATTGCTCTCTATGTGGGGCTGCCTTTGAAGATAGTTCAGAATCTTCAACTGGTTTGTGGATTGGCGGCCAGATTACTAACTAGAGCCCCATACAGGGAGAGATCTACTCCCATGCTATGGCAGCTCCACTGGCTGCCAATCTGCTTCCACTCTAAATACAACGTGCTGGTCATTAATTTTAAAGCCCTAAATGACTTGGGTCCAGGCAATTTGACTAACCGCATCTCCACCTACAAACCAACTCGGGCATTGCAGTCATCGGAAGAGGCCTTGCTCTTTGTCCCACCCCCATCTCAAGTACAGCTGGTGGGAACGAGAGAGAGGGCCTTCTCTGTGATTGTCCCTTCCTCTGGAACTCCCCCCTAATGAAATAAAATTGCCCCCCCCCCTTTTTTTTCCTTCAAAAAAACAGCTGCAAACCTATCTTTGCTCACAAGCATATATATGAAGAGGAGGAGGATTAGATGAAAAGAGACTATTACCAGACTGCTGATTAGAAAGTATAAATGCATTCGGACCTTGTTAGACCATATTAGCTCATTTAATATCATTGGTCATACAATCAATGCACACATTTATGAACCTTCATGGTGCTTTTGTAAATTAATTTGGATGTTTTATGTCCACATTTCATGTTATAATTTTTGATAGATAACATTTTATTTAAGTTATAGTTGTTATGTTTAAGATATCTTTTATGTGGGGTTATTCTGGGTTATAATTTTGTACTTATTGTCATTGAGGCACTGAATGTTTGCCTTTTTGTTTGTTGAAATCCGCCCTGGGTCTCCCAGGGGAGATTGGGCAGAATATAGAAAAAGTTTTATTATTACTATTATTTCATATAACAATTCAAGATGGATTTAAATTAGATCTACAATGGGCTCACCATATCCATGGGATCACAATCCAGATTCAACCTACAGCAGATGCAAATGTAAACAATGGCATACTTTGAATTCTTCGGGGGGGGGGGGACGGGACTTTCCAGCTGTTTCTGCCTCTGATGTGGTGGGGTTCCTTAGCAAGGCAGGAACAGGTATGTTGCTGCCTGCTGCCATATTTAATATGAACTTCATTTCCACAGACTTTGTGCGAACTTCATTGCTAGTACCTGATTAATTGCTATCTTTTCCCTATTGTGTTGAGAATAAATCTGCTGTAAATCTATGATGTAATCAATAACAAATATCTAATTATTCCTGTGTCACTTCATTATGATGATTGCAACCACAAAAAGTGTAACTCCAACATTACCTAATTCTGCTTTCTCCATGGCAGTGTTTGTTGGTGCCACTAAGCTTCCTTGGAGACTGTAGTAAAAGCTTGCATAATAGCCTGCACTTTTTTCTAAAGTATAGTTGCAAGGAATGCAATAGCCTAAATCCACAAGTGATTTAGAACACTTATCGGGTTTCATCCACACATCCCCTTACCTACAGGATATAGGCAGTTACAAAAGAACCACAGACTCAATCCTTCACAGTATGACCGTTCTCTGTTCACAGTGTGCTGGCGAAGGAGGAACAGTGAGCTCGAGGAGTGGAGTCAAGGGGTGGGTAAGCTAGCATGTGGGGCAAAGTAGCAATGGCATGATTTCCCAAAGGTGGTTCTTGGCAACCAGGGATGAAGGAGAAAACCGGGGGAAAGGCTGATTTCCAGCTTTGAAGAATCTGAAGGCTAGAAAAAAAGTGTAGTGTGGTACATAGTGATAGAGGGGTGCTGCTTTAAATCCCTTAATAAGACTCTCTCTGTGTAAGATCCCTCTAACCTTTTGCATTTATCCTGGAGTGAAACACAACACAAAGACCATCCTATCTATTCCCTGGCTAGCTGGTAAGTTAGTTCCTTCAGCAAAGCCTGACCAAAATCTGTATCCTTAAAAACAAAAGGGAAGGACCATCCATTGGGTAAATCAGTATCTTTTATTTGTGTCAGAGCTGGACAAGGAGTGGCCAAGAAAAGAGGGTTTCCAACTTCTCAGGCTGCACTACAGAAGGAGGGGGGAGGAGATGAATGGACAAAGAAATTCTATGTAGACAACATTAAAAGTAAGTTTGCATGGAAAAGAAATAATCTTTGAGAATCAACATGTTTCACTAGACCAAGGCAATACTTTCTACTGTTACCTCTTCCGTTGCCTAACCTCTCCAGTTTTAAGTATCTTTCTCACTGTGTTGTCGATGGTTTCATGGCTGGAATAACTAGGTTGCTGTGAGTTTTCCAGGCTGTATGACCATGTTCCGGAAGCATTCTCTCCTGGCGTTTCACCCACATCTGTGGCAGGCATCCTCACAACCTCTGAGGATGACTGCCATGGATGTGGGTGAAACATCAGAAGAGAGTGCTTCTGGAACATAGCAATTTCATTCTCATATTTATTCTCTGCCAAAGTTCTAAAATAGTAAAGCTGTCTGGCTCTTTTTCCTATCCATCTTTACTATTTTAGTTATCTTTTTTTACATAGAATGTTCTCCAGACTACTATCGTATTAAATAATATGTTTAGACTGATACACAACAAAATAAAAACAAAAACTCCAGGGCATGACAAGGCTGCTGGTGTGTAGACCCTCATGATTATTAAGAAATTCTGCTTGCAAACTACAATAAAATTGTAGGTCATTTTTGTGTTCAAAGATATAATCTATGATTTAATTATATTCTATTGGGGTTCCATTGAAAATGTATTGTACTTTAAATATATGCTTTTGTGCGAAAGCTGCACTGGCAGACCTGGTTCTTGTATATACTTCATGTATAAATTGACATCATGTATAGGTTGCGGGCAGGTATGGAGGCCAAAATTATGGATTGTGATATGACCCATCGATAAGTTAAGGATCCATCTGTGGAGAGGGGAAAGTTGGTCACCTGAGGGGAGCAGACACCCCTGGCCATCAGCACTATTTCCCTGCCCTGGCATTCAGAAAGGCCAGACATGGTGAAACAGTGGAGAGAGTAGAAGGGATCTATGGTTATGTTTATGTTCTCTCAGGACAGACTGAGCTACTCTACTCAGGGAAGGGAGTGGTTCCTTTTTGGATAAAAGTTAAGAGGCTGCTCAAAATTCCAAATGAGCAACAAAACTGTTGTAAGATGACAAAGTATACTGTGTACATCAAGGGGAGCATGTTTTTATATTTTAATATTGATCACCAAGAAACCTTTAGGTCATTCTATCTTCTCCGGCTTCAATAATATGTTTATATCAGCACCAAGTTACCCACTGCCATATTGTTGACATTTCTGTAGAATGATTTTCATTAAGTATATAAAAGTGGTAATTAAATTAACATTATGTAATGTGTTTTGGATTTGTAATCTCATCTAAATTAATTAACTGACTCAGCCCTTGTTTATTTTTTAACTGCCCTACTTATGAAGCAGAGCACTAAAAGTAAATTCAGTTTTGGTATAAATTAAAGTAATTAGTGGACTTTAAAAAGCTTTTAGAATATATCAACTTTTCAGTTTTGTATTCTATGCATGGGTTTTTAAATTTTTAATTCTTGTTGATTAATTCAAATATTTTCTATGCCACTGATAACAACCACATGTTATATTCCTGGAAAATGAACAACTTTTCCCAGCTAGTTTTAATGAGATACATTTTTACTAAGCAGAGTTTTGTTTTTAGGTTGGAAGAGATTTATATGTCTTTCAAGGATCTGAAATAAGCTCCCCATCTCTTATAATACTGGGTAAATTTCTCTTTGACATGCGTTTAAGAAGAGATTTACACAGGTCTCCTGCCACATGTGGATGGAGATGAAAGACTGAAGTTTCTTTCCAAAACTTACTGGACTCCATAGGAAAAAAAGAGAGAGATTGATGTTTAATCTTATCCATCTGGGAAATATTGTATACTTCAACTACACTGTAATATATGGGTTCTTAGAAGCGAGACAGTATTTTTTATT